TATATATATATATATATATATATATATATATATAAAACTGTATCTGGAGCGTGTAACAAAAGTAATTTCCCTCTGGGATTATTAAAGTATTTCTGATTCTGATTCTGATCTACTACTTAAAGAAATAAACCCGTAATGTTATCGTGGTCACAACATGCTATGGCAAGCTGTTTTGATATGTATTAGTTTTACTGAATATGTATTTCGGATATCTGAAAAAAAGATTTTCTCCAAGTCAAAATGATCATTTCTAACTAAAATTACATTCTTCACATCTAGAATAAACATTCTGGATAAATGAAATAAATTTCAGATTTCCATATTCCTAATATTACTGGTCAGTATTTGTATTATTTTGACCATAAAGAAATGTATTCCAGATGTCATGAATTCGTATTCAGTAAACCTGATGAAAATCAGAATGGCCACTTATAATCTAAACATTTCTAGGTATATTAAACTTAATTCTTACTACCGGTATTATAACTTTGTTTTTTTACTTTCTGTAATTCAGTTTCTGCCGTATAAATGTAATTTAGAAAATCTATTGTTACACTTCAGTGATTTTGATCAGAAATAATCTTTTTTTAGTGATCTGCAAATGGGACAACAGAGATTAGAATGCTTTTTATAAATGATAAAACAGCCTGCCAAAGCCTACTTTATATTAAAGCACAAATTAACTCCTGTTGCCTGTTGTCATGGTGACTTGTTGATTTGGGGCTTCACTGATAATAGCTTTTTAAACTTGTCACGCACACACTTAACTCTGAGTGGACCTACTTAGAGTTTATTAAACTAATTTATAGCAACCTTTGGGAAACAGAAAACTCTGTCTAAATCTAAGTTTCTTAATCCTGCTTCTGAATATCTGGCTGCCATTTCATGGCTTTAGTAGTGTTTGTGTATATGCACACACAACCACAGTCCCACATGTTATGTAACAGTCCCTGTTTGGGATAAGAGCTGAGGGTTTCTCTATGTGCAGAGGTGGCCACTTTTAAAGAGGAGGACATAAGAAGAAAGGTAGGAAATGAGCCCAAACAATTTATATGAACATTTTCCAGAAAGGAAATGATACAAACTGCAGATGTACACAAGCAAAACTAATAAAGTCAAGCATAATACATTTTGCCAACATTTAACACTTGTTTGTACAATACTACTGCAGCAAATAAAGCTTTTCTATAACGATGTGTTTTTTTTTCTTTTACTTTTTTGCACATTTTTTCCCTATTGTCAACATTTGATCACTGCTGCACTTTAAGAAATGCAAATGTCATGAGAGCTGTACAAAACGAAATTTTATTTTCTATACACCCTGTGAATAAATTTTGTCTAAGTCTAAGTCTTCTCTGCTAAAGTTCTCAACATAGCAGCTGATCATCCTATTCTGTTTTAATGATTAAACAATCACTCAATGCTGAGAAGTAGGACCCACCCCAGGTTTAACTAATGACTGATAATGAGTGAACCTTTTTTTCCTGAGTAGACATAAAAGCCATCATTGCTTCTAGTTATTTAAGAGGACAGTTATTTAAGAGAACATAAACAAGAAGTAGCTTCAAAGGCAAAACTGTGATATTTTAATTCTAGGAAAGACCAATTAGGTTTTTTTCAATCATTTTCTATCAGACTATTTGATCCTGAATCACTTTGGCCTAAATTATTGTTTCAAAAAGCTTTGAAAGACAATTATATTAAAACAGATTCTCTGTCTTACCAGTTTGCCACCAGGTATCCACTACAGGGCACCGTCCTTCCCCGACCACCCTGTTGTACCACTCCCAGGCCTCGGTGTTGATCGGCTCTCCCACTGCAGACAGACCGAGAAAATGAGAAAAAAACTTTTTTGTTTAATCTCCTTTACTGGAACATTTAATTCAACACATACAAAAGAATAACACAAATATTTTGACCAGAAATTGAATAAGTAATCTAGATAAGCGGAAAATTGTCTTGTGTTTGTTTAAACAAACACAGAAGCTCCTCTGATTAGGTCCCATAAACCATGTAAATTTGATAAATCACAAAAAAAAAAAACACTGAACAAAAATTGAATATCAGACTCATGATATCAGTTTTAATTTGGTTTTATCATTTAACTGAGCTTTAATGAGCCAACTGAGTTTGCTTGTCAGGATACCTCTCAACATCACACCAAAACTCATTCAATGTCTTAACAAACGCCATTTTTACTGTCAGACTATAAATCCATCAGATGCTCGTGCAGCATTGTGGGAAGGTTGTTGCAACTTTTAATCACAATGAATGGTTCTCTCACCCATTCCAGTCTGTCTGATTTTCTTCAATGCACCAGTTTGACCATTAGCCCCCTGGTAACATCAGCAGTAGCAAGATGGGCATCAAGTAATGCAAACAGCTTAACTGCAGTAAGGGTCAAAGTGGTGTACAAACCCACTTGGCATCCTAAAACACCACAGCAAGAGGATGCAAAGGTTCCTTCAAAAACAGCCATCGCACATCAATGTGAAGCAACAGCTGTCCATGCTCTGCTCCAATCTTTCAAACACTCAGTGATTCAATGGGTAAAACTGGGTGGTTTGTTATCTTCACTGCGTCATCCATACCAGCAGTAAGTATTTATAGCCAGTGTTTCGTGATGAATGATATAATGCATCCATTTAACATTGGGATTTGCCTTTTTTGTGTCCAAACATTCCCTTCACGCTTCCCGTCATCGCAGCCGCGCCATCAGTACGTGGCTGCAGATTTTCCACTGCAGATCATGTGCTTTGAAAACACTGTCTATACCCGGAAAATATCTGCTCCAGTTTATCTTTTCTGACAACTTTTTGATACATCTTTGTATGCATGAAGCCCTGGAGCTCAGCGTCTTCAATCACATTTGTCGTGGCATCCAACTGCAAAATGGTATGATTTTGTTCACTACTTGTCCAGTGATCTTAATCAACATATATTTGATCGAAGGACACGGTGTTGTTGGAAAGGGGAACTTTCTTGAGTGTGTCAGCTGCTCCATCATAATTCCATCCATAAAAGGCCCAGCAGGGAGAAGTAGTCTGACCTGACTTAAATCAGACACATTTTTCTGGTTTACCAACACTTTCCCAGTGTTAAGTGTTCTGGGTCATTGTAAATAGGCTGGCTTCATCAAGTTATCTACAAGGACCACTTTTCAAAATGTTCCTTTCTTTTACTCCACTTAAGTCTATCCTGAATCCTGAACACTAGTGTCTAGAAGAGGGACCTGCTTTTTTTTTTTAAGTGGAAATATAGTCTGCAAATTCCATAATAAAATCCGGAGGCCCAAGATAGAATCAGAACCAAAATAAAAACATGTCTAAAGTAATAATTGAAGATAATAAAATGCAATTGATTTTAATTACAAGAAAAGTTAGAATATTTTTAAAACCAATTATCTCCAGTTTATTTTTAAACATAATGGTAAGCTTGCAGGTACAAAGTGGGGTATGTGTAGGGCTGCACGATGCATTACAATTTACATTACCATACACATTTTATAAGAACATCTGGGACTTTATTAGAAATCATGAAAATACCATATTTTATGGTTCTAAATATTAGTAATACATGTAGTGTGTTCTCTTTTTAGAGATATAAAAGTTGAAAGATGTGTTGTTTTGAAAAGGAAACGTTGAAGCAAAGCTGATCCTCTTTTAAAACCAGTTTTCAAAACCAGCACAGTATGCCTGTTGGATATAAGCCCAAAAACAGAAACATCAAAAATATATAAAAGTCATATCAACTTCATAACTTTTATCAAAATGAATGCATTTTGAAGTTTTGGAAATGTTTTAATCTCACTAATGTTTGCAAAAAGAAAAAAAAAGCATAAAAACATCTGTAACGAGTCATTACGTTGTTTGTTTTCATCAGATCGGAACAACTTAGACAATTATTGTCTATTTTGTATTCCCTTTAGTACAGCTTTCCAGACAGTAAATGAACATTTCCATTCCTTAAAGTGCAGCAGTGGTCAAATGTAAACTGTGGGAGAAAAAACATGGTGCAAAAAACACACTGATATGGAAGTGTATGTTGCATATATGCAGTATTTTTGGTATGATGTTATCAGTACAATAATAAAACAATAAAGAAGCATTGTGTCCATTTCAGTGCCCAGAACAATCAGTTCAAAGGCTTTTATTCAAACGACTCAGTCATTGCCAGGTAACTGATTAACAGCTACAGTGTGGTAAAGAAGAGCAAACTTCCAAAGAAAGGACAAAAAGCTTTTATGGATAGTCAGCAGGCTACAATTGTTATTCAGTTTTTCTAAAAACATAAATATGATGTTCAGCTGATGCAACAAAACTCGTAAATTGAGGTATAAACCTTATTTTCAAATAAAATGAGTTAACTTTCTTAATAAAATCTTCTCTTTACCACTGCTGCACATGACTACTCCCTGCAGGGTCACCTTCTTTTTTTTTCATGTTTACAGTTTACAATATTCTTGCACGCTTGAAGTCCAGAATGCAAAATAATGTTCAATATTTTACACATAATAGAAAAAGAAAAGTTTTTCAATTTTTATTTCTTCATCAATTCCCTTATAATTACATCTGAAGGAATCAACCTAAAACACGTGAGCTGCTTAATCACCAAACCCAACTTGGTTTTCAGTAAACCTTAATGTTTGCATCAGCCTGTGTTTGTTCTTTCAAGGCAGTTAGCAGACTGACTGCTCAAAATAGGAACACTTTAGAGCGTATTGCTGTGTGACTTTCCACTGTGTATTTAACTGTCATCTAGTTTATGCAACGTAATAAATTATGCAATAAACTTACACTTTTATTACTCTAAACAGAGAATTTGAATTAGATCTATTAAAGTTGGAACTCACTGAAATCTTGCATAATGTTAACTAACACAAACGAACGACGGGTGACAAAAACCAAGAGTCCTTTTATTTCAGAGGAAGATGTGTCACATACCAGAACCAAGAGTGGTGAGGGAGGAGCGGTCGTACTTCTTCACCCACTGGTCTCCATATTTGATTAGGAGGCGGATTGCAGTGGGAGCACCGTAGAACTGGTTGATCCTCAGCCTTTCTACCATTTCCCAGTATCTCCCTGTGGATAAGACATTCAAATATCACAGGATGCAGATGAAGTCTTTACTTGCAGCACCTCTAGACCACGGCTCACGAACCTTTTTAAGGCTTTTAGCTACTTCATGGTCACTGAGTCATAGAAGGGCTACCAATACTGGAGCAGTCAGTGTTTTAACTAATGCATTGCATTTCTCTCAATTTCTTATTTTCTTTTAAATGTTTAATTTTGAAATCTCTTTAAATGCAAGCTTGTCTACAAAAATAAGGGCAACAGAATAAAATAAAATGTAAAACTTAGCCTACTGGTACTGTTTTCAGGAGATGCTGAGGGGACCTCATGTGGTCTTTGAGGGCCCGTTGATGCCCAAAGGGAACCGTATTGGCGACCCCTGCTTCACACAATTTCTGGAGTTTTTTTTTTTTTTATAACATTACAGGAGATACTTACCTTCAAACTACATGAAGAGCAGAGGATTCAAGAATAATGAAATATGTTTTTTAAAGAACCTCAGAAATAAATGATGATGAACACAATGGGGCTGCTCAATGGAGCAGTGGGTAGCACTGCTGCCTTGCAGCAAGAAGGTTTCGGGCTCGATTTCTGGCCAAGGGCCTTTCGGCATGGTGTTTGCATGTTCTCTCTGAGCATGCGCGGATTCTCTCTGGGTACTCCGGCTTCCTCACACAGTCCAAAATCAAGGCTGTTAGGTTAATTGGCTTCTCTATATTCTCCTTAGGTGTGAGTATGTGTTTCAATGGTTGTTCGTCTCTGTGTTGCCCTGCGATGGACTGACGACCTGTCCAGGGTGGACCCCGCCTCTCCCCCGTAGACAGCTGGAGATAGGCACCAGCACCCCTCGCGACCCCGCTTGCGATAGGCAAAATGGATGGATGGATGGATGCAATTTGGGAAACACCCCTCTGATTCCCACAGTGTGGTAAAGCAACATTTCACTCAGGACTATTGTAGAATAGCCTTATCTAAAGGTCTAAAACTTTTTGAGGTAAAAATTGAAGCACAGTAATTCAAAGTGATGACAATTCTTTAAAGTACAGTTTGTAAAATGTTTTTTTTAAGCGCACGTTGCCCCCTTATAGTGCTTTGTATGGCTTTTTAGACCCAGTATAAAGTAATGGGTTTAGTTGGATAAGTAGTTAAATTAAAGTGAAGTGTACTTTTCAGTGAGGGGGCTAATCGATTATAAGGATTTTTCAACCATTTTTTTCTTATTACTAAGAATTTATTGTCTTTCATTCTATGTTATTAAACAGTACTTAAGAACTTTCAGTTTTGGTCGATTTTGGCTCTCCCCTCTGGACAAAGGTTGCATTGTTTTGCCTGAAGGACGACAACATTTCCCATGAGAATCTCCTGGACAGCTGCAGTTGGATTGAACTACTAATCTAAGCATCTATTAAAAAATCCAGAAAAACCCCCCCGAACATTCTCTCCAATGTGAAGCTGTTTCACAGCTCGTAGGTTGTGGAAAGCGATTCAAGTGAATTATGGGTTGTTGTTTTTTTTAGTTTTCAGGGCTATGTAGAAAATCTGTACCAATTAGTGAGGTAATTCAAAACATTTTGAAGTTTCAAACCTGGGTCAGGGTAGACTGGAGTGCTTTCAAAAAGGACAGTGGTCCCTCCATTGGCCAGGGGCCCATATACGGTGTAACTGTGACCTGTTATCCAGCCTATATCCGCCACACAGCCAAACACATCCCCGTCATGGTAGCCGAAGACGTACTGGATATAAAACAGAGGATAAATGGGGGAAATATATATGTATATATATACATGTCAATAGTTGTATTTTAGAGGCAAAAGTAGAAGTGTTTGTGGGACGGCTGCTTACCCTGTGTGTGAAAGCAGCGTACAGCAGGTATCCAGCCTGAGTATGGACCAGGCCTTTAGGCTTCCCTGTGCTGCCTGAGGTGTACAACAGAAACAAGACGTCCTCGCTGTCCATGGGAGCTGGCTCACACACCACGTCCTCCTTCAGCATCTCCTGAGCAGAACAGCGAGGTCATTCATATAACTAACAGTCAGGAGCAGCGGCTAGTTTTACCACATCAAAGAGTTTTCCTGAGCAGACAGGAATTTGTACAGCTGTTCAAATTTTCTTTTTTTCAGAACATTTCTTAGAAATTCTCCAGGTCAGCTAAATATAATGCTTCTGTTTCCACCTTATGGACTCACTAACCTCCTCTAAGACAAAGTCCCTGTCTGTCATTTCCACTTGTTTTTCCGTTCTCATGGCAACAAACACTTGCTGGACACTTGGACAGCTCCGCACAGCAGCGTCCACCGTCCTCTTTAGCTCTGTGATTTTCCCGCCACGGACTCCCTGGTTCACCGTGATGACAGTGCTGGACTGAGCTACGGACAATAAAGAGGAGGGGGAGCAAAGAAGCTGCTTCAGAAAAGTATTTATGTGCAACAGTCAGTCTGTGAATGGGATGATTTTTGTTTTTTTATTATTACAAAGAAATTACCCAGAAGTACAAAATAAATCATTTTCTTTGTCTTTAATATATGTCTAAAAAACAACCTGGACAAGAGACATTCATTTATGGCCTCATAAAGAGGAAATTAAGATATATTGTGATGATAATAATGTTTGCAAA